ATAAACATTTTCTCTTCCCCTAGCCACTTTCTCACTCGATCGTCGGAGTGACACGTATTGGTCAATGAATGTGTCTTGCGTATCACTTTTACTGTAATCTATCTGTAATCTGTAGATATAGTTACGCGTCCAAAAGATACATCAAGTTTATTACTTTTATAATAATTTATTTGAAAGTGATTTTTATACCGTCAGGAAAATATAATTATACGTTTATTTATTTATTTATTTTTTAAAATGAAAAATGGGTTGAGGTTGTCAATTACCATGAATACGGTTGGCAAGGTAACTCAAAACAACGTAAAAGGGTGCCACCGACAGTCCATTTGAATATTCATCATGGATAATGGATTTGACATTTAATATTAGCTTTTGAGAGACACTAAGATTATTATGACAACGTTATTAAATTATAGTAAGAAAACAAATGAATGTTTATGTGGATCGCATCTTGGTGCGGCTAAACCAAACCACACCAACTTCACTGTGCTAGCAATTCTTGTGTTGTGGAGGGATGATGAAGAAACTCTCACTCTCACCCTCCCATTTGGAAACTAAATGTGCCTTCACTATCTCTTTGATGCGCTTGATGGGTTTCTTCGTCGCTTCTTTCGTCCTCTGCTCTGTAATTTTCTCACTCTCCATTGTTCTTCGAGACCCTCCTTCAGATGCAGCTCTTCGCGAACCTTCCTCACTCACGCCTCTCTTTCAAATCACACAAACTCAACAAGGTGGCTACCCATTTCCTCTTTTTTCAACTTACCCTGTCCTTATTATTCATGTTACTCACTGAGTCATTATGAATGAGATGTTAATTGATAGATCAACATGTTCATACATTGTTCTCTTCAATTGTCCTTTTCCCAAACAATATGTTGCTCTTTTTTATGCATTTCTTGGTTTTTTACTTTTGTTTCATCAAATATTTGCACTGCATTTTGCACATGAGTTAGGTAGTTAAAGTGTTAACCAATACTTGCCTCAAGCCATGAATAAGCACATAACTCAATCCTACAAAACTAACAGCAACTAAATCCTACAAAATTAACTTATAAGGTACACATTGCTACTCGGTACTCACTTATATACTTTATTTTATGAGACTTGAGTTTTCCGATACACCCAATCACATCACGCCTAAGGCCTAACAGTAACATTGTGAGCTTGATGAGTGGATATATCATATGCAGAGATTCTTTTCGATGAATCTCTAATACCATTTTAGAACATGGGTTTGAATCCAAATATCTAACTTAATCTATAAAATTGACTTGTAAAATGATGATTATCCTTTATTTATATACTCTCTTTCCTAAGACTTGAGTTTTTCTTGATAAAGATTGAGTTCCTAAATGATAATTTTTTAGAATTTTTGTGTATTTTAGAGACTCATTGTGAAGTTATAAAATTTCATCTTCTCTGACTTGTAGATTTGGACAATGATGCCTCTGATTCTGATGAGTTGCCAAAATCAAAAGATGCACTGCTTGGTGGCCTTCTATCTGCTGGATTTGATGAAAAATCTTGTCTCAGCAGGTATCAGTCAGCCTTGTATCACAAAGAGCTATCAGGAAAGCCTTCTTCTTATCTCATTTCTAGGTTAAGAAAATATGAAGCTCAACACAAAGAATGCGGACCTTATACTGAATCATATAACAAAACAGTGGAAGAACTCAGGTCTGGTAAATTTACCGAGTCCTCAGCTTGTAAATATGTTGTATGGATTTCATTTAGTGGGTTAGGGAATAGGATTTTGACCTTAATTTCTGCGTTTCTTTATGCTCTCCTCACAAACCGTGTTCTATTGGTTGACCCTGGTGTGGATATGATTGATCTCTTTTGTGAGCCGTTTCCAGATACTTCCTGGTTTCTCCCTGCTGATTTTCCTCTTAATGCTCAATTTAATAATTTCAGCCAGAAATCTGATCAATGTTATGGGAAAATGCTGAAAAGTAATTCAGTTACAAATTCCACCGCTTCATCTTTTGTCTACCTTCATATACTCCATGATTACGATGATCATGATAAGCTTTTCTTCTGCGATGAAGAGCAACATTTCCTCCAGAAAGTGCCTTGGCTAATGATGAAATCAGATAATTATTTTATTCCATCTTTATTCTTAATGCCGTCTTTTGAGCAGGAACTCAATGATCTCTTTCCAAATAAGGAAACAGTTTTCCATTTCTTGGGTAGGTATCTGCTCCACCCCACAAACAGTGTGTGGGGACTTGTTGACAGATACTATCAAGCTTATTTAGCTAAAGTTGATGAAAGAGTGGGCATACAAATTAGAGTGTTTGACACGGATCCTGGTCCATTTCAACATGTGTTGGATCAGATCTTAGCTTGTGCTTTGAAGGAGAAACTTTTGCCTGATGTTAATCACCAGCAAGATACTATCAATTCATCTGAAATTCCCAAGACAAAAGCAGTATTGATGACATCCTTAAACTCTGGTTATTTTGAAAAGGTTAGAGACATGTATTGGGAATATCCTACAGTTACAGGAGAAGTGGTTGGCGTTTACCAGCCGAGCCATGAAGGATATCAACAAACACAGAAGCAGATGCACAACCAAAAAGCTTGGGCAGAAATGTATCTCTTAAGCTTAACTGATGTGTTGGTTACTAGCTCATGGTCTACTTTTGGCTACGTTGCTCAGGGGCTTGGAGGTTTAAAACCATGGATTCTGTACAAACCTGAGAATCGAACTGCTCCGGATCCTCCCTGTCGACGTGCCATGTCAATGGAGCCATGTTTCCATGCTCCTCCCTTCTATGACTGCAAGGCCAAGAGAGGAACTGACACAGGTGAACTTGTTCCATACGTTAGGCATTGCGAAGATATGAGCTGGGGCCTTAAGCTTGTAGACAGTTATAGTTATAAGTAGTTGTGACCAATGCATTGTATGCTATTGTTAAAACTCGGGTACGAAGTGTTGCAATTTTGTTGTAAAATAGAATGAGTTATTTATGTTAGATGTGTATCAGTGTATGCAGTTTTCTCCCAGAGAACCATGGTGTTATTAGCTTTACCTTTTTACGGCTATTGAATGCATAGAAATGAATTCGATTACCAGGTTTAAGAAATTCGCATTACATTTAGTTAAAGTCCTTATAAGACTAACTTGGAGTAAACCCCTAAATTAGATCTCGAGATTATGAGTTAAATCTGAGAATTTTTAGACCTTTTTGGTGCAAAACAACGGTGAATTAAAAATTAAAATGACTGATGTTTTGCGAAGTCATGGAGAGTTTGTAAAGTCTCAAGGATTAAAACATCTCACTTGTACTAATTTAAGGACTAGTTTAAGGGTTTATTCCATGAACTTGACTTGAAATTTTGTTTTTCTTTTAAAAGGCACAAAGCATAATAAAAGCATCAATGTTCCTGTCACTGATATTCCAGTATTTGTAAATTCAGTTTTAGGGAAAAAGAGAAGTAATGTTCCCTTACAACCACATGTCTGTCTATTTATTCACTAATCTTTCAGAAAGTTGGTCTCAACTGGTATTAGACTAACATTTGGACCTGCTATGAATGACAAACCAATTCCAAAGAGGCACAAGAAGACCAATGTCATTTTTAACGTCTTCGATTATTGTTTGTCTATTTTCCTATTCCAAATGCAGTAAAACCATTCATGACTAGGCATATTTTGTTCTCACTTTTCACATATAACCTTTAAAATCTCAGAAGTATTAGTAACAACATAAATCTGGCAAACATGACGTATATATTATAAACGGCATTCTGATAGGGGAAGGAAGCAACATCCAAGCATTTAACCAAATAACAATTTAGAAAAGAATCAAGAACAAACACCCATAGTGTTGCATTCTTTTTGTCCATAAGAAAAATATCACCTCTTAAAGATTTGTCTTGTCCCATGTTGGATGATAGTGCTCACTTCGTGGGCTTGAATTTAAGCCCAACATTTGACCTTTCCAAATGGGCCATTTTAAAAATAGATCTCTCAAATCATTAACAAGTTAACACAATATGTTTTTCCCATCGGTTGACATTGGATCACCATATTCATACCACTGAGTTAGTGGAAAAATACATACCATAATGGAAGAGTAACGGAGAATCAAATTCAACATTAAGGGTCGCAATCAACGAAGAATATATCTTAGTCTTAAGTGTTTGCAAAAAGGTTGAGAAAACACAAAGTTAGGAGGCACATCTCCATCCTATCAAATTCGAATCATTTCCAATCCAAGTCAAAGAGATTAGAAGAGCAGCTTTTGGAAATTGCCAAGAAAATAAGCAATTGTGTAAATTTTCACGCGTGTTTTCTTATTGCATTCCAATTAATCAACGTTTTTTTTTCTTTTTGGTAAAATAGAGGGGATTACCAACGTGTTTAAACTCCAAAATTAAATATGAAATCATCCACGTATTGGAGAAAGCTTCTGTTCCTCTTCACAAAATCTAATCACCCATTAAAACTATTTCCCACTTTGTTTACACGTGTGTCAATAATGAAAACAACATGTATGGTTGTACTCTCTTCAGATATTTGGTAAATTAAAAGTCAATTACCATTGTCTTCACTGGTAGTTTTTTCTATCATTTTTCTTTATAAAAAAAATGTCAAAGTTTAGAAATTTGTTAAAGGATAAGTTTGGATTGCAATTATGTGTGTACTGTGACAAAAGTTAAGCACTTTATTTTATATCATGAGAAAATCATATTTATTTAGACCGGCGGGGACTTATTATGCTTTACCTTTTTAATATGGGATTTTCCACTCTAGTTTTTTTTTTTTATTTTTATATGTAAATACTTAAATATTATTATTTAGTGTTTTGCATACAACTTCATAATTTTTTTTAATATATATCTCTAGCACATTTTTCATTCGCTTGAAACTGAATGGAGAAAAACCATGAGGTGATTATTTGAAATCTAAATAAACTACAGAGAGAAAATAAAGTATCTTAAATGAACAGAGAGTAAAGTAATTCCGAATCAAATTAACTAAAGGAGATAAACTGTGATTTATTCATATAAAAATTTATGTAGAACTAGAACAATTTATAATTTCAAGGGTGATGGTTTTAAGGTTGAGATAATGTCTTCTTCTTTTTTTTTTTTTACTCACTTTTTTCTTCTTCTTTTGAAAGCTTTGAAAGTACCACCCTGGCACCACTGCCTAAATCCGCTTTAGCACATTGAAATTCGAAATTTTGAGGTTATGATAATAATGATATCCATATGATGATGTAGATGGAACCAATTCTGTAAACGTTGACCTTCTTAGTTTAGTGCCCTAGTGTAGTAAAGTTGAAACATTTAGGCTTAATTTACCGGACTATGAAAAAACATAAGCATATGAAATTGTTACCATTTATTTGTGATGAATAATCACATCTAAAAAGAGTCCACAGACCAGTCACTATTTCCCTTCCGAAACAAAAGTCCAACATGCAATTGAATCCAAGTCCCAATTGGATTTCCCCAAGGTGTGGTTGTAACTTATATCATGTTAATTTTCTAGATCAAAACACCATTCTCCAAAACTTTTCCCTTCACCCGTTTCATATAGGGTAATCTCACTTTTTCTCGAAGCCAATTATATGCCTCCATATTGCCATTGACATGATGAGGTGATGGACTAGGATGAATGCGTATCTCTTTGTTGAATGATATCACATTTAATAATACTTTCATTTATTCATAAAAAGGAATGTATTAACTAACCATACAATTTCTTATTGCAGCAAAATGGACATTTGTTTCCAAATGTCTCGTTCTTGCACCACCCTGCAATCATTTTGGGCCATGGAAACGAGGATAAGACTGACCTTTCCCACTTTTGGTTTGGATTAAGCTTCATTTTACTTTGCACAATGAAATCTCCGTGGATATCTCGATTTCTGTTCATCGTTTGTATCTTTCTTTTTTATAATATTTCCTCACTTACTTTATTTGGATATAATATTGGAAGTATTTGTATAACTGACCCCATTAAGTGGCCTCAAGGGTGTGAAATAATTGACATTACCTAATTATAGTAGGAATCAACATTGTGATTAGCCAAGCATGATAATGACACGTGGCAAAAATTATCTCATACACGTCATTTCCTATGGCCCTTTATTCCTCAACTTCTCATTTTTTCCATTGCTTTTAATTGCTCATTTATTTTACTTTATTCACATATGTATATATGTGAATCCGATGATTAAATAAAGGAGGATTCATCATTTTATCACTTTACAATAGTAAAAAATTATTAAAAAAAATCATATGCAAAATTATTACTCCATCCGAATTGAAATATAAGTAAAGAAACATGAATGATGAACTAAAATATATACAATCTTAAATGATTTTATTCTGTTTAATTATACAAAATATAACATGTCTTTTATTTAATAGAAATCTTATTTTTAGTGAGATTTTTTATTCTTGATATAAGTTTTAATAAAAAGGTAATATAAGAAGAAAAAAAATATTTTTAATTAAAATTTGTAAAACTAAATAATGTTGACAAGTATTCTTACTTAACATATAAATTAATCAATTTTGTACATGGTTAATTTTTTTTTCTTATCTTTTCATATCTATTTTTTAAAACTGAAAATGTTTAATTATGAATACGTGGCTTTTGAATATTTGTCCGAGTTCTTATGGAGAGAACAATGATTGGGGGCTGAGTGGGCCATGAAGACCAGAATCACAATAATGGAAATGGATTTTTTCCTTTTGGATGTTTGGGAGGGCACACTGCCACACGGAAGAAAGTTATGTGCACTTTTTTTTTTAAATGCTAGATCCTCCAAACATAATTATCCGAAAAATTAATCGATTATGAATATTATGTATTAAATTTTTTAACAAATTTCACTTTATTATTTATTCGGAGGATAATTCAAACGTTTTTTTAGGATGTATAGTATCATTCTTTTTTATTTTTATTTAAATCATGATATTATATGAAATATTTATTATCAAAGTAATGATTAATCTTTAACAATGACTGTGATTACAAATAAAGTAAGTATTATTCTTTTAAATTTAACAAAATTTATTTCTCAAGATTTAAAGTTATGTATACTCTAAAAAATATAATAAGTAAATGGCTTAATCATATATTCAAAAAATTGTTAGTATGTTTAGTACTAGATTTGGTTCATTTAAATAACATCTCATATTCTACTTTTGTGTAGAAAAAACATAATTAGGATGGGAAATCTCGTTAAAAATGATTAAGATTCTTGACAGAAATTAATTATAGATAAAATTAATAAATATTTGGTACTAATAATATAATTATAAAAAATATCTAAATTGAATTTAAAAATGATAAAATTCCAAACATAAAAATATTATTTCCTATGTATTAAAAATAACAAATTAAAAAATCAACACACTAATTTTAGACGGAAAAGTTATCATAGTTAGAATATTTGACGAGAAATGGGTCACCTGAAACTATCATATTCACATTCGTTTAACGTTCTACTTGAGAAAATACTCTTAACATAAAATTATTTGAGAGTATCATTTTAGATTTAAAAATTTGCTAATTCTTTAAAATTTAATTCAATTGTTCAACAACATCTAATTAAAATTCTATTACCATTAAATTTTGATAAATAAAGTTTTGATTTAACCTAAATATTATTAAACTTTGACTAACTGTTAAATGAATGATAGTGTTTATTATGGAGATTTTAACATGTAGTTATTTGGTGATCATAAAAATATCATTTCCTATTTACTGTTTTAAGTATAAAAAAAATTATATATTTTTTATTCAAACTATGTGGTAATATATACTATTGCAATCTTTTATATAATTTAACAACACTAAAGTAGTAGTAATTAGGATAGCTATATAAATTTGATACTTATTATTGTGATTGTATACTAAAACAATATAATTCATGTTTTTTTTTTGATGGGATAATTGTTATTTTATTAATTACATGACATACAAAAAGTATTATTATAGGTACAATATATATAGATATATGTCTATTTAACATATAGTTACACATAATTTTAGTGTTGATTTTGAATGAGATTTAATAACATATTTTGTATGTCACTATAGTCTATACCCATACTTTTTAATAATATAACAACATATATTATAGTTATTGTATGGGTAAAAATAATTTTTAATAACATATATAGTATCACTATAAGGTGTGTGTTACTGTATGATAATTTTGTTGTAATGCCTCCATTGTTTTCCTTAACTTAATTATCATTTAAATGAATTATTATTATTATTATTATTATTATTATACTTTTACATAGATTAGATATATATCTTTGATATGAAAGTAAATAAAATTAGTGGTGACTAGAAAAGATTTGTTTAAAATATTTAGCAGTTGAGTGAAGTAATGATAAATATTGAGGAGCAGCCAAGGGTGAACGCAGCCTAACTTTGTCCTTAGAGTGACCTCATCAGACTGCCACTGCCATATATCGTTAAGGTGCCAACGGAAACTCACTACCTAAATCACATCTTCTTCCTTCATCCCGGGAGTTTTAAAAACTAAAATAATCAAAATCCATATATATAACTACCGCCCAATAAATTAAACTCAAGTATGATTGATGGGAGACAAAAAAAAGGATTAAATTTAATTACACTTTTATACCTGTGGTAAGTGGTTGATGCACCTTTTTAATAAAAATCACAAGTTCACTTTATATATATTAATTACGTTTGTATTAAATATAAATGTATGTTATTGAGATGAATTTTTAATTTTGATTCATAAAAGACACTAACCATAATTATGAAACTGTACTTAAGGCTTGTAAAAAAATTGCACTTTAAATACTTTGAACCTAAGATAGTTTCCTCAAGAATGCTATCTCAAACAAGACTCCACCTCCATCACTCGATTATATCAAAAAAGTCAGAGATATAAAACAAGTATAAATTTGAGATTTGAAAAAATGAGGGTTAAATATTCGTGTACAAGAGTAAAATGTATTGTACACACTAACAAATCATTTATTGAAGTAGTAGTTCCATTAAATAATGTGTATTATGTATGAATAATATGATTAAGAAAGAAAAACACGTGGAAAATAATGTGACACTTTGAGAGGACCTGGCACATGCACCAGAGCGCCACGTGTTGGATGATTTCCTCTCGTTGTTTAGTTTCGATGTTACTCAAATTACTCTGGTTGAAAGCGAAAGTTTCACCTTTAACAACCTAATCATAATTTAATACTCCAATTTTGAAACCCGAAATGCTCCTAGGCCATAGCTCACTAAAGCGATGATGATAAGGTAGTTGGAGTTTCTAAACTTATACCACAATTACACCAATCAGAGGAAAGAGTCACAAATATTATATACGTCCTCCAAAGTTAATTTTTTATTTCAATCTCATTCCCACAGTAAAATATACTAAATAAACATAAACACCTCATAGCCCATTAGAAGAGGACCTAAAAATTTTCAGAAAAGATAACGGAGTTGGATTGGTGTCATAATATCATGAAGAAAATGAAATATTAACAGTGAGTTTTTTCTTTATTGTGTTTATTCGCCATCAAACTAAGTGAGTTGAGCGAAAAATTATAAAAAGACAAATTGCCGGTGTTTTCATACAGTTAGGATCGAGACGTGAAGGACTCAAATTGGTGGACTTTTGAGAGGATTTTTATCATGTGCCATAAATATGACCACCACATGGTTCAAATGAGATACGTATATTGTATTTTTGGACAAAATAAGAAAAGAAGATCAATGCTCTCATGTCATGCCATTACAGCTTCAAAACGGAATTCATATCATGAAATGAGAAATGGATGATTTGACAATGAATGAAACTATAAATGATCACAAATACAGACAATCGTTCCTGATTCAGTAAAAGAAATCACACCCAAAATAAGGATTTTTTTAATATTTATTTTTCATATATAGCTTACAAAAAAAATCGAATAATGGTATTTGACTATAGCTCAAGAACATCAAATAAATATAAAGTATCAGATTAAAAGGTAATATATTAAACCTTATACTTTGATTTTCTATTGGTGTCGCCTTGGCACCGGTCCTATGCATGGTTTTCTTTTACGTGTCATATTCAATAGCAGGTTGCGCTGGCACAAATTCTTTGTTCTCACTTGACTTGTATCTTGACTACAAACTAAACACATCATATTTACTATTCTAAAACGCTTTCCTCTTGGTAACTAAAATTGTTTTTGCGAAATTGGTTGATAATCAGTTGTTCTCATCACCCTTCATAAAACAATAATACAAAACACTTTGAAAGAGATAAATGAGAGAATGTGAAATCTGAACACTACTAGAGCGACATATGCCGAGCGATGTTTTAGGTAAAGACGTTTGAATTTTGGCATTTGACAATGAATCATACTGTCATGTCATGATGAATATGCACGCACGTAAACAGAAAGTGAAAGGGAAGAGAAGAAGTTGAGTCAGGATTTGCACAGTGAATTTAGGAGTTGGTAAATGCAGATAAGCTTGTTACACATTTGTCCATGTCAAAGCATGCGCGCGTGCACGTGTGTCCAAATAGAGGGATAGAAAAAAAATGAGAGATTTTCAATGGTAACCGTACAGCCCCCACATTTTAAAATCAAAATACATATGCTATTCAATTTCAAACATTAACCGAATCAAGTTCATGGTCTTGGTCTGAGCATTAGCTGGACACTAGACTGATCCAAGCCAGAAAAGCAAGATCTATACATATTTTATAAATTTGATCCACCAGTCTCATTCTATGATGATTTTGAATCCAAGCTGAAACAAAAGACAAAAGCAACCTAATTTCACAACTTAACATATGCTTGAGTACATGTTTTAGATAAAATCTATACACAAGAGCATGAAACAACCTAGTAAATCCAGAAACCATCAGGATCCGATGGCGCAACAGAAACAGGTGCGTGATTGTGGTTGTGAAAGGGCCTCCTACCCATGTCAAAATTGGAAGAGGGTTGAGCGTTAACATGAGGAGTGAGAGGCGTTTCCTGCGAGACACTGGTGATGTCCCTCTCTGACTTGAAACCATTGTTCTCACACAAAGCTCGCAAGATTGTGTGGTCCTGCTGAGTGCAGAGAGAAGCTTGAAATGGGAAATTAGGCGCGGGTTGAGCGTAGAAGGAAGCAGAAGGTGGCACTCTGGGAAGAATGTCGAATGAATTTGAAGAAACCCCAAAAACGGAATCAAAGACCCCTTCAGGGTTTCTTTCAATTGGATTGGAGAAGCAGGGCACGTAAACCGAATCATTGAATGGTTTCGTGTTGTTGCCGATAGAAGGTGAAGAATCGGAGAGAGGTGGCAGAGCAGAGGAAGCGAATTGGTTCCCGAAAGAGTCCAACCTCATTATCCCCGAAATATGGGTTTTCTTCCCAGCTGAACTCTTCTGAAACACCCTACAAATCACCCACTCGTTCTGCTACAAACACAAGAATCATGAATCATGAATCGTAATCAAAAGGAAGCCAAACTGAAAAGCATAGAAAAACAAGAGTAACAGTTTGATACCTTTGCAGTTTTGGGGAGGTTGTGAACGGAGAATTTACCCTCGAGTCTGTACTCGTGCATGACCCAGTTGCTTTTCTCTCCTTTGGGTGCTCGACCTCGGTAAAAGACCAGAGTTTTCTTCATTCCAACGAGCGATTTACCTCTGAAAATCTCTTTGTCTTTCCCCGTGGCCTTCCAGTACCCAGCTTCAGTGGCTCTGTTGGTTCTCAACCCAGTGGGGTATTTTCTGTCTCTCACGCAGAAAAAGTACCACTCCTTTTCTCCCATTTTGGCTTTCCCTACACACCACAACCAAGTAATTTCAATTTGAGTAATTAGTGATTAGTGATTAGTGATTAGTGATTAGTAATTGATAATTAGTAATTAGTAATTACATGGCAAATCCCAAGGCTCGGACTTGTTAAGGTCGACTTCTCCAATGGCCCTGGCGCAGAACTTGGTGTCCATCACCTTTTTGTAGAGATAATGGCTTATGAGCTCTTCATCGGTGGGGTGGAAGCGAAATCCTGGAGGTAAATCGATGTGATCCGCGTTTTCCATGGATGAGGCTTAGCTTTAGAAGAAAGAGGTGAATGTTAGAGAAAAGAGTTTGAGGTTGAGGCCATAAATACTGCTCTTTGCGACAAGAGAGGAAGAAACGTGGAATGTAAGTAACCTCCTAAGCCCACTTCTTACTTCTTACAACTTTTCTCACTTCATTACAATTTTATTTACGAATCATGCTAAGCTACTTACTACTTACCTACTTTCTACTTTACTTGGTTTTTCTTCTTCTTTTTTTTTTTAAAAAACAATTACATGATCTTTTTCAACACATCGAATGTTATTTAATAGTCGGTGTAAGAGAAGCCAAAAAAGTATAAACATGATGAGTGATATTGCATTATAGGAAGAGATAAAGAAAAAAATTAAAGAAGTTGATGGGATATTTTTTATTAAAAAATAAAGCATTTAAACATCATTAGTCTTATCGTATCATAAATTAAAGTTACTTTATATATTTTAACGTTTTTAGAAGTTCGATATTTATTTAACTTCTTAAAGCATATTTATAAAATTATAAATTAAATACTTGTCTTAATTGCAATGCTTTGATTGAATAGAAATTATTTTAATGTATTACTATTGGGACTCTCAAAAATATTATATTGATTTTGTTTTAAATAAAACGTTAAATGATGAATTTTTTTTTCAATTAAAAACGTTTTTTTTTTTTTAATTAATAGCATGAATCTTTAAGTGGTAAGGGGACTGGCCCAGCAAGACCTTTTATGAAATTTGGTTTTGATAATATTATAATAAGTTTTTCCTTTTTGGATCAGAAGAGGAAAGAACGATTAGAATCAAGTGGTGTTGATAATGTGTGTTTTCCACCAAGAACTTAAGACTTTCACAAAAATAAAGAATCTGTACTTTTTAAAACAAAAAAAAAATTAAATCGTTTTATTTATATATATAAACAGAAGAGTATTCGGGAAGCAAATATTCTTTTTCCCTGTGTCTTATCCCAGCTGTATAAATTCAATCAATAATAGATGACACCAGCTCCTTCTGCATCTTCCTTTTGAAAATCAGTTATATCACTTTATCCTATATGGTTTTCAACATTTATTATAAATAAAAATAATAAGACAAATAACTGCCCTTTCAAATAATTTTGATGTAATAATATATATATATATATAGTAATTAAAACAATTGAAAATATAACTTAAAAATATGTGTATAAGATAAATTATAATTTCATTGAAGAACATCTACTGGATGATTATATCCTTATGCACATATCTATATTATTATATATATTTTTTAAGAACTAATTATATGTTAATTTTAGATAATTGTTAAATGTTTTTTATTGTCAATAGTTGAATTGTTAAGTGTAAGAGTCATATCCAATCGTTGTAACTAATACATGATAATTTATTTTTACTTTTTATAAAAAAAAGCTTTTAACAAACCATCTTTGAATAATTATTTGTGATTAAATATTAATATTTTAAAATAAATTATCAATAATAAAATAATTTTCTATTACAATATAAATTTTAAAATACAATTTATATATTTAAAAATATTTATTTATAAAATTTTTAAATATAATTATATATTTAGACATAGTATTATTTATATATGTATATGTATTGTAAATACTAATATATTAGTTAATTAGTATCATTTAAAAATTATTACTTTTACAAATATTGTAGTATAAAAAAGTTATAAAATCCGTTAAAACTATTCACGTTCAGTCGTTGAGTACCTAACCATAAACGGAAACGGATTGATAGTAAATTATTAATTTGCACAATTTGCTTCGTGCCAATTACCAATGAACAATTTCTGTTTTAAAAAGTATCAAAGTAACTTTTATATTTGGGCTTTTAACCCCGTGTATATATATATATATAAAATAAATAATTGAAAAGTTCGAACATGTACCATCAACATATACTATTATTAATAACATATCATAAAACTATTATAATTAATAGTATCATTTTAAGTTAAGATTTTAATTAGAATGTCTCGATAGAAAGTGCACATTTAATCATACATTGTCATATATTATAAAATTATTGATTTTTATAATTATTTTAAAAAATATTATTTCGATAGGTATGTAGTTGAGTGATAAAACTGTAGGCTCCTCGAATTTTACCGAAAGCTATGTGAACAAATATATTCGAGAATATAGTGAAATATAAAATAAGGGTAATTAGATGTAGGGTTTACTATTAAGACTCATACTCAATTATAATTAGTATAGGGTTTAATAATATTGTTGTACTTATTTCAATTGGCACTTTTTATTTGTAATTGACTTTATTTAATAAAATTGTTGCCTTCCAAAAAAAAAAATTATAATTAGTATAAATAATGATATATTAAGAAAAAAATGTATTTTTTTATATAATGTTTTTGACTTAATCGAAATCAAAAATTTATTCGAACATTGAAGTGATTTTTATAAATACATTTCTTTTTCTTATCAGATAGGTAGGATCAAAGATAGCTACTCCAAAACAGACAAGTAAGGTTCAAAACATTTACTCCTTTTGATCAAAAACCTAAATAACAAGAACTGACAATTCAGGGAGATGAATGAAATTATCTTATTATCTTTGTAGGTACATGTAATCATTAGTATAATTTTTATATTAATAGAGTATTAAATTTAAACTTTAATTATAAGTAAATATTAATAAATAAAAAAAACCCATTTATATTAGGGTTGAAATTTGGTTTATTAGCGGTTGGAATGAGAATCGAGTAAAATATATTTCCTAACCCCTGTAGTTCTTTTCTTTTTTTTTTTCCCGCAAGAACTACGATTGAAAATAATTAATTAATGAATGAGAAATGTAATTACTTAAAACGAATGAATAAAATTGCTCTGATTAAAATATAATGTATAGTTATTTATGGAATGAGAAATTTAATGAGCACAAATTATCTTTTACCGCAAAAGATTTAACTTTTACGATAAAAAAAAAACTGTCTTTTTAATGAACATGGAAAGGTTAGAGCGTTGTACAAGTCACCTCCATGCTCCAGCCACAAGACCGAAGTGTATTGCTTCTACACATTGTCTGGAAAACATGAAACAAATAAGAAGAAAATAAAAGAGAAGAAAGAAAAGTAGAGAGAAAATAATAGATAATGTGAGTCTCGCATTATTTTTTTTCTTTTCATGGCAAGAAAATAAGAATAAATAGAGAAATATGGTTAAAGTTACAGTTTTTTTCTTTGTGCTTATTACAAATAAAAACAAAAATATTATTTTATAAAAATCATTATTTTAAAATAATGAAATAATACATTTTAATATTTATTAATATTTTAAAATTTTATCCTAAAAATTATCACAAGTTTTTATTGATTTTATTTATTAACATTTATTTTTATATTTTTATTTTATATCTTTTTTACTTAAGGATATTTATGTCATTTTCATACATACTATTTTCTTTCCTTTTCACCCTTTTCTTCTTTTTTTTATCCCTACTAAACAACTAAATAATAATTTCTTTTTCTTTTTTAATGACTTTCTCTTCTTTCACTTTCTTTTCTTTATCTTTCTTTCATTAACCAAACAAAGTGCTAATTTTAGAAGGAACTATTTTCACACCGAATAATATCTCAATATATTGATAAACTAAATAATAAGGATAATTATTGTAATAATTATGACAACCACAATAATAATTAGTAACATTTCTTATAAGCCTCTTCTATCATTATGTAATTTTAACATTTAAAAAAATGTTTCAGAATGAATTATATTTTCACTTTTCAATGTAATATTAATTATTTTTTACTTAATTTGTCCTTTCATAAATTATTAAATCACCATAATGCAAAGTAATACATTTATGGAGAGAATAGATTATTTTCATGAAATTGTATAAAATGATGATACATTTATTGTTACCATTAATATATGTGTAAATATATATATATATATATATATATATATATTAATATAAAAGATAACTTTTTTATACTACTAAGTACTGTTTATATTGTTAATGTGTTTAAGAATGGAATACTTTTTGATAATGAAAAAAATTCGGTCTTAATTTAATTATTAATTTTAAGAT